AGGATCGCCGGAGCCCAGCAGGTCAAGGCTGCGGTGGCTGGGAGCAGCCACTGTACTCCAATTTGGGTGACAGAGTAAGACTCTAACTCAAGGGGGAAAAAAAAAAGACAGAAAAAAAAAATCCAAAATATCCAAAAAAGAAGAACTGTTTCACAAATTATAGTATATTTATGTGACAGTATACTAAATAGTCTTGAAAATCACTTTTCTGAAGAATATTTAATAGTATGGGAAGCATAGCTCATAATTATCAAGATAAAAACTGCTTATAATAATAATAGCTAATACGCTTATTGGTCACTTTATATGTAATGTAATAATGTATTTATGGCCGGGCTCGGTGGCTCAGCCTGGGAGGCTAAGGTGAGTGGATTGCCTGAGCCCACGGGTTCGAGACCCGCCTGGGCTGCGAGACCTCATCTCTACAACAAATCAAAAAATCAGCCGGGTGTGGTAGCACATGCCTGTAATTCCGGCTACTCGGAAGGCTGAGGCGGAAGGATCGCCGGAGCCCAGCAGGTCCAGGCTGCGGTGGCCGGGAGCGGCCACTGCACTCCAGTCTGGGTGACAGAGTGAGACTCCAACTCAAAAAAAAAATAATAATAATGTATTTATGACTTATAGCAATTCTATCAAGAAGTTTCTGCAACTTTTAGGGGGTAAATATATACCCCCCCAAAAAAGAAAAATAATACCAAAATGATAAGAGATGTTTCCAAGATCTTAGACATTCTTTCCTATTTAGTGTATTTTTATTTCTCAAAAATTTTGTAACAAGTAGAACACTTTTATAACCAGAAAAATGTCACTAAAATGTGCAAAACATGGAGATCTTAAAGTTAACAGAATAAATTATACAAAATCACCAATACTGGACCATTCTGACCCACAAAAATTGTAATTCCATTGGGCTCAGCCTACTAGATATAGACACACAAACCAAGGGACAATTCTAAAAAAGATAAAATATAAGAAAACAAAGTTAATCAAGTTCACTGGTAATAAAATAATTGACAGACATAAGACAATGCAGGACCATCTCTCACAAGCAAGGCACAGCACAGTAAATGCCAGTTTGGTCCAGAAGCGGCTTTAACGGGCAGGTGATGCTTACCACCATCACCCACACAGGGTAGTAGGGTCAGAGTCAGAAGCAGACTGCACGAAGGGCTGAAATCTGCTCAGACCAACTCCCTGACGGAAAACCTGCATCTTACTCAGAAAAACAGTGTAATCAATGGCATAAAAGATTAATGTTAAATAGAATCTTTGTGATGGTATTTCACTGTGATCGTAGCAGGTGAAATATCTCAGCAAGGTCTGTCATTAAGCACCTGTTGATAGCCAGGCTCGGTGGCTCAGCCTGTAATCCTGCGCCTTTGGTAGGCAGAGGTGAGTGGATTGCCTGAGCACGTGGGTTCGGGACTCGCCTAGGCAGCGAGACCTCATCTCTACAATAAATCAAAAAATCAGCTGGGTGTGGTAGTGCATGCCTGTAATTCCAGCTACTTGGAAGGCTGAGGCGGAAGGACCGCCGGAGCCCAGCAGGTGGAGGCTGTGGTGGCCGAGAGTGGCCACAGCACTCCAGTCTGGGTGACAGAGTGAGACTCCAACTCAAAAAAAAAAAAAGCACCTGTTGATAAGCTGTAAAAACAGCCAATATCTACACTGAGAATGAACAAACCGGTTGAGGAGCTCACACTGCATGCAGACATAAAAGATGAGAAACCTGTTCATATCTATGTGGGCTTGCCCTGTTTGCTAACCAAATTATTTATCCCTTCTCAGCCAAGAATGCATAGAAGTGAAGAAAGGGCAAAGAGAGGTGAGCCATGAACATCTTCCCCTCTCAGACCTTTTTGAGATAGCAAGGGCAAAAAGGATCCAGAATGGAAATGGACAGAAATTAGACAACAAACTAAGTAGCCTTTCTAAGTCAACACCTGCCACACTGCAGGTTTCCTTCTCTAAGACCTCTGCCCTTGCAGCCAAGAGCCCTCACAGGTGAGCTCTGCAAAACTGCTGATCAGCAGAAGTTCACAGAGGGGAACACACAGTAAGGAAGACGTGGTAAAATTCAACATCTGAAAGGCAGAGACTGAGGACACTAAGGGCCAGGGTGGCTGGAGGAAGGACGTCAGGCATGGCTGAGCAGGACACCTCCAGGGCTCCCCCAGCTCACCCAGCACCCCCAAGGGCCTGATCTCTGGCGGCTCCCCCCTGCAGGACTAACTAGCCCTTCTTGTGTCTCCACAGACCATGAACAAATCCTGTTCTGAAAATTCCTCCTTTTTTTCTTTTCTATTTTACCTTTAGTTGTAACCAATTCAGGCAATTGGAAGCATATAAAGTTAAAACAAAACCAAAAATCCTGTCCCTCTACCCTTCCCTGCTTCCCAGCAATCACTGCTAGGCGTGCAGACTTTGAGATTATTTCCAAGACTCTAAGACAGGTGGACAGCCAGGCACATGTATGTACATAACACATATAGACACGCAGGTTTTTTTTACATGAGTACAACACTGGACATATTATTTTCCAACTTGTTTTTAAACTTACTCTGAGAGATTGTTCCATAACTTCCCTGTCTACGCTCATGTGCAGGGGTACATCACTGTATATCTAAGTATTCTCTTAGACATTAGGTGAATCCAAGGTTTTCTTACAAAACCTCCTGCAGCACACACCCCTGTTCCTCCTACTTCCGGAGCCCTGCAAGCAGTCAGCCAGTCACCCCTTGTTCCCATACAGATAGTTCCATTGGGCCATCCCTGGCAGGCCGTGCCTTCAGACAGTCCAGTATTCTCTTCAGCAGCTGGCATGGAGGAAAATTAAAGGGCTGGTCTGTTTCCCAAAGTCAGAAGGTAAAGAAAGGAAACCTCTTCATCTCCCAGCTCTGGGCAAAACTGCACCAACGCCCAGCCCTGGCTCTAGGTTCTCCTATACAACAGTCAGTGTCATAAACA